CCAACTCGCTCAGCACCTGTGAATGAATCCCATAAGGCCCCATGGACTTGAGCATGTTTAATTTGTTTAAATGTTCCTTTACCTGGTCCTCTTCTGCCAAAGGAAAGTGTAGTTTTTCTAGATTTTTCCAACAAGTCTCAGGGGTCTGGGATTCCTGATAGGGAATTGAATCTTGTCAGTAAAGACCAAGGTGAAGATGACCTCTAGTACATCATGTCCTTTGGCAAGAGGTCTACCATCGCATTCAGCAGTAGGCTGAACTTTTCCCTAGTTTTCCTTTTGCTGCTGATATACTTGCAAGAAGCCCTTCTTGTTGCCTTTTGCATCCCTCCCCAGATTGAATTCCAGGTAGAGTTCGGCTTTGCTAACCCCATTCCTGTGTGCTTGTACAGTGTGTCTGTATTCCTTCTGTGTCATCTTGGTCACCCTACTTCTACCCTATGTATGCTTTCTTTTTATATTTGCGTTTTGTATGGAGTTCCATGTTCATACAGGCTTTCCTGCCACGTTTGCTTGGCTTAAACTTGTGGGAAGTGATCCTGGAAAATCAGCCAGCTCTCCTGGATCCCACTTCTCACCAAGACTATCGCATAGGATTCTTCCTGAACAGGCCAAAGTTTGCTCCTGCAGACTGATTCTAGGAAGTGGTGTTGAAGATGTTATGGGTCCCTAGGTAAGCAGTTAAAAAAACAAGACTGGAATCTTTTTCTAAATGAGTTGCCTAACTGGAGAAGACATTCTAAAACATCACTAGAAAAGATGAAATGGTGGTAGCGTTGCTCTGTATGTCTTTTTTGGTTGCCATACTTCTGTGGAGTGGGAAGCCCAGGTTCCTGGTCTCCTTCAGTGTGCAGGGCTTCAAATCTTTGTTTTCCTCCTGAGATGTGGTTGGTACCCACAGAAAGAACAGCCCACTACAAGGCCTGGAAGTTGCCTCACTGTGTAACCAGGCATGCAATTGTCACTGGGATCAAAAGAGAAAAATGGATTATGTGTCTGTAGCCTTGAGACTGGGAGCACGACTGCAGAGACAGACCCTCCTAGATTCTGGTCATTGCTCCTAAGCTTAAATGCTCAGTTCCCAAACTTAAAACTTAGTTGTATAAGAAAGCACAGAAATAATAAGGTGTGTAAATAGCCCTTCATTTATGTTCTCTAGTTAAATTGTGGCCTTTCTTCTCTAATTTGTTCTAGATTTGATGCAATTGCTGTGCTCCAAGAATTTAAACTGATTTGTGCTTATTGAGTGTTGCTGTATCTTATCTACACATTGCAGAAAACCTTCCTTGGCACAATGTGAGGCCATTTCCCCTCATCCTATCACTTGTTACTTGGGAGAAGAGACCAACACCCACCTCTCTACGACCTCCTTTCAGGGAGCTGTATAGAGCGATAAGGTCTCCCCTCAGCCTCCTTTTCTCCAGGCTAAACAACCCCAGTTCCCTCAGCTGCTTCTCGTAAGACTTGGGCTCCAGACCCTTTGCCAGCTTCATTGCCTTTCTCTGGGCATGTTCCAGCGACACAACATCCTTCCTGTAGTGAGGGTCCCAAAACTGAACACATTAAAGGAACAGGCTGGAAAAAAAGGAGCCTTTCACTTTCCTAAGTTGCTAGCTCAATTAGTGTGCACTGATTAAAATGACCAGTTGCCAGGAGAATCTTGAGCTGGAAGTCAGTGTGAAAAAATTCAAGTAGGGTAATAAAAGTACATGTTAACTCTGTGAGAGTTCAGGCTCTCTAATGTTCCAGTACTTCAGAATTAGCTTCCAGAACCTAGTTTGAAGCTGCCCCATGTTTTCTAACAGCACTTTCTAGAAGAGGAACTTTTAGGACCCTTGGTGTCCTTTGAAAGAATAATTGATACTGCTGCTGCTAGTTGCAGGATAAGCAGGAGTACTTCTGTGATCTTTTTGATATTTTGATGAAATTAGGTGCTTCTTCCTTTCTCTCTTCTAAGAGAAAGAGAGGTGCTTCTTCCTTTTCTTTCTAAGACTTCTGCAAGTGGCTTTTAAAAATCTGAAATAATGGAAGTGGCTACCAGCATGCATGGAAGGGCCAAAGGAGAAGAGGAGGGGGGACTTTATTTGAAAATTAGAAGCAATAGAAGTGGTTGAAACGGGGCAACATCTGGAATTGGGTTGCATAGACCAGAACTTCTTTTTTGTGAAGATATTGTTCTGTTGCTGTCTCCTACTTAGGCCTACTGTAGACAACAAACATTCTTATCTTCTTTTTAGTAGTCATGCCCATGTCTTAGTTAGCAATAGTAGAAAAACCTGTTGTCATTTTCACCAGAGGGAAGAGCAGCCTGAGCCACGCAGCCTGAGATACCTCCTAAAGGGCGTTGTTCAAGGCCAGGATTAAAACATATTGAGTTGGACATGATGATTGCTGTGAATTGAACTGCTGTGGTTTGTACCTGTCCTGTAGCTAAAAGACTTCAGGCTCTAGCATTGTCTGGTACCTGTTAGGAGTAATAATTCATGGGAAAGGACTGATTCTTCCTTCCTGCTTTCACACACAGTACAGAGATTTAGGTAATTTTTGGTTATTGTGTGTTTTCAGGGTGTGTTTGCCCATGGGCTTGGTTTTCTAATATGATGAATAGAAATCAAACATTAGTGAGATTTCATAATACTTGGAAGTTTTATGAAATTGGCATCTTCTCTTGAATGTTTGGGAGACTGTAGAGTGCTTTACTGCTAACTGCCACAGGGGACTGGCTTAATGTTTCAGCCTTGTGCAAGTGGTTGCAGGCTGCTTTTCACCAAGTCTCTTACCCCACAGAGTGAGTGAGCTCTTCAGTCTAGTAAACAGCTGCACGGTATTACAGTGATGCATACCACATATTCCTCAGCTTCCAAATGCTTGTGCACCAAATCTGTTCTAACACATGACTGAGATGTGTAATTTCTAGTAGTGAATGTCTCAGCTTTCTCAGGAAAGCAGAAAAGAAATGTAATTGCTGGTTTTGATGTATGCTTTTAAACCATAACTTATTTAAGCCTTACCTATTCATTCATCTCACCTGATGTCTTTTGCAAGGACCCCCAGACTTCTTCCTTCCCTTGCAATCTAGTTCTACCTAGCAAAACAAGAAAGAAAATGTTTCCTGTGAGAGTTGATCAGCAATTATGGTGATTGTGTGAATAATAGAGTCTACAGAGAAATATTTTACACATATGTGTATATTGGATTTGTATCCATGTGCACATACACTGTTTGCACTAGTTATATAAAGGTTGTCGCATTCGTTTTTGGGATTTCCAAACATGTGATAGTTCTTTGCAGAAATCATCCTTTGAGTTAAGCAGCCAGCTCACATGCACACATTTATTTAAAGTCTAAGAGGCTCAACAAGATTCTTGACAATAGTGATAAAAGAACAAAGTGGTCCAGATGTACTCTTTATGTACATAAATATTTGAGGAATCTTGTTTTCCTGAATGGCAACATGGATGTGTACGATTCTGCTCAATTACCAAGCCACACAGTATATCACTGTGCTCGAGATATGAATGTCCTCTGTTATGTTGTCTCTGTGTTGTACTTGCTTATCGTGCATGGGATGGGAAGGTCATGTGTTCAGAGTCCAGCAAAGCAGATTTAAGCAGAGCAGGCAGAGATTTAGATGTGACATAAATTGAGAATGACAAAAGAGTGTGGACCAGGATATGCTTTTCCTAGAGTGGTCAGTTTACTGCTTGCTGGCTATATACAATTTATTAAAATAGTTAATTTGATTTGTGGTCCACTCTTTATTATCCCCCTTGTTTGAATCCTATAGGCCTTTGGCAAGCAGTCAAAAGTATATCCATTGCTTAAGTGAAATTTGAATATCCTGTTGGATATGGCAGGGCATATGTCATGTCGAAAGTGATGGCGAGGCATTCTGGTCAAGAACAGCTCTGCTGCTTTAAGTAAAATTGGCAAAAATATGTATGTAACTCAGAATTGGCTAGAGACATGCAGAAGTCAAACTTATGTCCAGATTAGGGGTCGTAGTCCCTAGAAAAGTAATATGCAAAACCCTACTGCAGGTCTAAGATTTGGTATTGTGGTTTTCTAGTGTGCATGGCTCTGGTGAACTGGTAGCACTTCTTCAAGGCCTATATACTAATTTCATTTCCTTTTGTATCTGGTTATTGTATTTTTTTTCCTGAAGCCACTGGTTACTGGAGCGGTCTTTTGCCTGATGTTTTAAGATCCTCAGAAAGGTCAAGTAGATTTTTGAGTCTGCGATGTGACTAATATTTGGACTGACAATTCTCAAATAAAATGTTCTGTGGAGCACTTCTAGTCTTGTGTGTTGTCCATGTAGCCATGTATCATGCAGCTCAGAACTTGTTTGTTTATTTAGTGATTCTCATTCTAATTTTGCTTGGGGCTATTCTTAATGAATGGAAAGCAAAATATCAGAATAGAGCAAAGGGTAAAGATCTGATGACAACCTGTGGAGTTGTGTTACATTCTGTTAATAATAGACACATAGGACTTAGTCTAGGAAAATATATAATATAATCCAGCAATATAACCAAATCCAAATTCATTGGGATATAAAAAAACTGCTCTTGGTTAAAATTGGGTAAAAGTAGAATTAACTCAGTTCATTTTGATGAAGACACTGTAAGTATCCCTGACACCTGCATAGCTAAGTTTGATCTACAAAATTTTAGGGGTAAATAAGAATTAAAGACTCACACAGCTGTTGAGCATATGGCTTGTATTTTGGCATTGCTCTAATTGCCTAAATCTCAGCAAATTAGCATAAATTATTAGGTAGATATTCAATTTATGTATATGTTTGTGATGTAGTGTGTGTGTGCTGACCTGATTTTTTTTTTCTTTTTATTTCTTTTTTCTGGAGAACATGTCTTGTTGATTTATTTTCATGGTTTGCACTTAATACTCTTTTGATTGCTAAATTATAAATAGCTTCAGCTAAATATATTTCTAATGTATCCAGGTGAAAAACTTATTTATATTGTGCTTTCTTGCAGGGGCTGGAGTTTTTTTCCTTTCTTGTGCTGAAGGAGAGCAGATCAGCTTTCTATTCGACTGTATCGTCCGTGGCATCTCCCCGACGAAAGGCCCTTTTGGTTTGCGCCCAGTCCTACCAGGTTAATATAGGAAGTATAGAGTAACCGAGCAAAGTAGGAACTTGCTATGTCTAGCACTTATTGCTGTGATTGTAAGAACAGCTTGCAGACTCTACGGGTGTAGAAAGTGCAAAGTGGTTTTCATTCTGAAGTGTCACAGTACAGATTTATCAGTTGAATGTACCCAGTTTCCCCCTGCTGCTCTGGCTCATTCATATTTCTGGTGATTTTGCTAGCTTTAGCCTTCTTTTCTTTAACAATACTAAAATACGGCAATTTGAATTGAAAGGAACCCTAACCTTTAGTTTTAAACTTACACAGTTCAACTTGGATCCATGTCTGCATTACTATTTTGATAGATTAATAGAAAACTAACTTCTAGGGCATTTTGAGTTCATCCAAAACACTTAGAACTACGTCTTGCCAACCTTAGAAAACTTTGTCAGACCTCCACACATCACATTTCAGTTTTGCAGTTTGAGCTTTTCTGATGTGCAAGGATTAAATTCCTTTTCCTATTTCATGGTAAATGCTGCATGCACTGTAATGTTCCAAGGGGAAATTAGGTGGCATCATAGAACACCCTGGTGCCTTTTGACTTTAGCAGGTGAGGAAATATAATATCAAGTCAGAATGACTGTCAAACAGGGCAAGAGTGTGGAAATGAGATTGCAGAAAAATGTCTGTGAATTGACAATGGGATGTAATGGGAATAGGCTGGAAGAATGGTGAAAGATGAGGTGGGATTTGTGGGAAATACTCGGAGTTTCTGTTTAAGTGTAAGACAGTTAATAAGTGTTTGACAGGGTTTTATTGCTGTTATACGATTAAGATAATTGCAGGAAGGAAATGTGATGGAAAAGATTAGAACTGTATGAGAAACTTGTAAAAATAAATTATGAAAAGTTAGTTAAGGTAAATGCAGTAGACACAAGGCTCAGTTCATTGCTTCTTTACCATAGTTGTAACACCAAAGTAAATAAAATAATCAAGTGGAATAAGGGCAATAAAACCTCATTCTTCTTACACGATGATCTGTGTTTGCATTCAACTAAGTGGAGTGTTAAAAAAAAGCAAACAACAAAAACCAAAAGAAATGCCCAAACCAGTGTGGATACTTAAAGCTTTACTAGTGAATGCATATTGTTCTGCATATCTGAAACTATTACACATATACAACTCCGAAGTCTTTCATTTAACAAAAATTTATGTCCAGAAAAATTAAGCCTACAAGCAACTACTCTGTTGTCTTTTTAAATTTTATTTTAATTTTAGATGACACATTCTTTGAAAAATCTTTTTTTCAGAGGTATGTAGAAGTAAATCTGCTTTTGCATCTTAGTTATCAACTCTGGTGTTTGTGGGTTGTTATACATAGACACATAACACATTCCCTTCCCTCTTCACTAGCTCTGACCTCACTGAAGTGCATATAGATGTGGAATATCCTGGGGATGATTTGGTGATTTTTTGTGAGGGAAGACCTCTTTTCTGAGGTCTATTTCATTTGTCTTCTGTGCTTGATGGACTTGCCGCTAAAATGAGGTGAAGGTGTACTCAACCACGTGATTTCACCTTGTTTCCCTGGAGAGGAGCAGTGTTCTGCAGGGAGCTGTGCTCACGTTCTCACTGACTCCTCTGGAACCCTTCTCTAAGCTGCTTTGACCTCTTTAACTTGTATTTCCCTGTATCTTTACCTTTGTTTCTTCCAGTTTGTTGTCACCCCCTAGGTACACATTCCTTCATAGAAAATTTTTATTTTTTATGTTCTCCATTTACTATCCCATGCAGAAGCTTGCACAGGACTGTTTAAGGCACATGCACAATAATAGTGATTCATCCATAAACTAATTTTCCTTATCAAGTATGCTGTTACACAGAAGGTACTGTATTGCTTGAAAAGGTCAAGTCTCTACCAGCTGCATACTGTATCTGGCAAGAGCATTGAAATTCACCCAACCTTTTGAAAGGGTTAGTTTTTAAATAGATTAATCACCTGCACATCTTGGGTAACTAGATCAAAACTTCAAGATTGGGGATTCTACCAAGAAACAACTAGTCAATGTTATTCATATTTACTGGAGTGCAGAATGCTACACAGCTTCAACTGTGCTTTATATATGCAGTGCTCTGCTTTTGTGTAATTTAAAAGCTTTTATAGGAAGCAGCCATCTCTCCACAGTTTGCTATTTGAATTTGGCTTCTTGCTGTTGCCTGTACCTTTCCATTGTAAACATGAAATATGCTTGAATAACTCTTAGGTATTTTCAAGAAAGGAAAACACACAAAGGGCAGCTGTACAGCGAAAAGAATGTAATGTGGTGAAAAAAATGTCACACTGACAGTGTTCTTGGACACCAACGCCCACAGAACAAATATAATCTAGAGACGTTATGCAGTCAAACATCTGCTTAGTCTGTCTTTGGAAAAAGGGTAATGAATGAAGCCAGTGGCTTCGTGTACAAACAGCTCAACCATATGGTTAAACGGAGTACTGAAAAAAATATTTAAGTGTTAGCATTAAATTAATAGGAAATTATAGAGAGTGGTTTGAAAAGGACTGGAAAATGACCAGTTTTCTTACTTTTACTTCCCATAGTGATTCTTTAAACAAATGTAAACTGCCCAGTATCCAAAAGGAGTTTGTAAACTGCATGTGCAAGGGATAGTTGTTCAAGTACAGTATTTGCATCTTCTTTTCAGGATTGTAGTTTTGAAAAATATACCTTCATTAAAAGCTTGGTGTTCTTATAATGTAGATATATGAGTACTGTATGTATTTTGTTATGCCATCTATAAAATATGTAATGAAAAATCTATGCAGTGGAACTCATAAACTTGACTGACCATTGCAAGGTATCAAAATCTGGTCTAATCTCTCATAGCTGGCCTACTTTGAGCAGCAGGTTAGACTAGAGAACTCCTGAGATCCCTTCCAACCTGAACTATTCTGTGACTTTTTGGAAATGGGTATCAAATGAATGTGAATATTCTCATGATAAAAATAATTCTATTATGTGTACATCCAGAATAAAATGGAAAAGGAAAAGAACATTAGATGGTTTACAGTTTACTATGGTGTGGTACTTACTTTGGGAGTCCATTCATTCTGCAAAATTGTACCAAAATACTCCCATTGGTAGCTTCATTAGCAGATTGGAGGTTTTGATGTATTCAAGGCTGCGTGATCAGGTCTCAGATTTAAAACATATGGTATTGAGTGGGAATGCAAAGGTTGTGTAGGTATCTGTGGATGGCTTTAGATGTGTAGCGTTTTAAATAAAGGACTTATATGAGCGACAGGATGTCTTTGGGTGGCTTGTTTTCCTCAGCTACTAGTTGGAAGATAATTGCCGTAACTGGCTGCTTGCAACTTTTTTTTTATTGAGAAGATATTTAGAAAACAGACCAGAGAATTTTGTGTTCTTGGCTTGACAGAAGTCTAGGTATCGACAGAGTAATGAATCACTGATTGCATGGTTTGTAATCTATACTGAATTTGCATGCATATTATTTGAGAAATGTTTGTTTATCAGGTGTGGGTTGAATTCCTTCTTTTTACTAGAAAATTCATCTTGAATGCCAAACATGAACACAGCAAAGGCCCAACAGTCGATCAGTGATATCTTTAGTCAGTGGGGAGATCAGTACTCTCTAAGTCTGGCTAAGGCTATGGGACGGTCTAGTCCTGAAGGCTGGAAAGACCCCAAGTGTAATGTTGATAGTCTTGATGCTCTCTTTTAATTTTGGAAGCTTTTTTCAGGCTGCTTTGTGACTGACTGGAGAGTGTGCAGTGCTGCTTGCTGAGGATCTGTCTGATGCTTTTTCTTTTTGTTGAAGCTTGATACACCTTTGGCCATTGCAAGACAGCTCTCTGGCTGCCTTCTGCAGTATCTGTACCAAGTGGATCCTACTCAAACTTTTAGGACACCTTTTCATTCCTCCAGATATCTTACAAGGTGTGGAGATGTTAGCATGAAGGTGAGGGTCCAGGCCTGATTTGCAAATGTGCCTACAGTTACAAAGGAAGAAAGAAAGGAGAGATGTTCAGCCTAACTTTGCTAACTTTGTTTAATGAAGTAATTAACCAGTGTTGCATTTAAAAAATGCATATAATCAAGCATATTTTAGGTAGCTGCTGACTTAACTTCATACAGTACATTTTTTTTTTTTTTCCTGACAGGTGCTTACTGAACAACCCTGGAGCTTTGAATTACTGTGACACTTTATTCATATGCTACCAAAGCATCCAAAATCTCCCACAATGAGCAGCTGATGTGGCTTTAATGAATATCCACCAACGTAATATAAAAATAAAATCTCCATCTGAGGCATTTTTAGTCCAGCCAAATTTGATGTAATCCTTCCCCTTTGCCCCAAAGCAGGGTTTAAGATTTCACTGATTGCCTCACACAAAACATTTTTCTTCATAGCAAGGGATCGGTTTTAGTTTGGAAAATGAAAAAACACTTTCCTGAATGAAGGACCTGAGTGAATTTAACTGCCTAGATTCCATGGGAATAAATCACGTTATAGGATACATTTGTTTAGAGTTCAGGAAATGAAGGTACTAATTGCTATTAGAGTTGTTGGAGCTACTGTAGGATGTTGTGTGGGCAGAAGCTGTCTGAACTTCCTTGGACAGCTGTCTCAGTACTGGTTGTGCTGCCTCTCTCCTCCTGAGTTTGTAATATGGCAAATTACCGTTATTTAGCAGCTTTGTGTTGTGCATACACAAGGTATAGGATGATGCCAACAAATCCAACTTTACTGTTGAAAAAACCTTTGTTTTTACCAGAATTTTAGGACATATTTCTACAGTCATATAACAGGAGGTCATAGGTTGTGCCCTCCAGTAAGGCCTGTCTCTAAATGGTGGCTGCCGGTGACTTCAGTTCTTAGTCTGCTCCTGATTACCTCCAGATTAGTGCTTGGTAGCACTAATGAAACCTCCTGATTAGTGCTTGGTAGTCTGTAACCAAAGATACTGATATAAGAATCTGCTGCTTCCGCAGAATAGTATTGTGTGTGTTTTCCACAGCAGTCTTGCTTATTAGCAAAGAAGATTAAAGGCAAAACAAAGACTCCAGTAGGACTGATGGATAATTTTTTTTAATATCTGCCTAAGACTTTAAGTCCACATATGTTTGGCAGGTTTTGAAGTTGTTTCTCTAGATATTTCCTAATAGTTACTGAGAAAGGATTCTTTTAATCAGTCTTTCACAAAACTAGGCAATGAGAGGTCACAGCACATAACCCAATTTTATACATACCTTTTATACATAGGCAATCCTTAAGGGGAAGTTTAACTAAAAATTATCAGTCCGGTTGGACAGACAGTATGCCCAGAGATTTCACGTTGTTGGGTGAAACCTGTTGTGTTCTGTAGCTGTGTAGCTGATAGGGAATTTGGCTTCTAGAAGCAGTTGAACACGTGAAATGCAAACCTACTGATTTGCTTCAACTTCCCTTCTACTTCCCCATCTTGTATTTTTTATAGGCCATTTTTGCAAGATCAGTCGCTTGAGCAGGTTTTTTTTTTTTTAAGGATATCTTTTTCTGTCTGTAAGAGGGATATCAGGTACTGAAAAGCTAATAGTTGTCTGTTTGCCCTAGTAACATTCTGAAAATCTGTATTTATCAAGTAATCTTATTCTGAAGAAAGTGGAAAGATCTTTCTCACTGACGGTTCGTTGCTGTGGGAATACGGTTAGTGTCTGTTGCATCTTGATTTGACTAATTTGCTGATCTGTTAGGCCAACTTTATACTCAAAGTGCTCATGGAACATCTCTGTTGAACCTTTTTGGACATAAGGGCGTTTAACTAGATACAGCAGAGTAACTGGAGCAGAGGACATTCAAAAATAGATTCAAGCAGCAGCCTGTAACACTGTATGCCACTGAGCAGATCCTTGCATAGACCTGTCTGGGTTGCACCATAGGTGGTGGTGGCCAAATCTTGTATTTTCCTTTGGCAGAGGTCCATATGGAAGCATTGGGGGTTTCATTTGAGTAAGCAGTTACACAGGTTTGAACTAGTCAGTGCTTAATATGAGTTGCATTGCAGGGGAAATAGGGATGGAAACCAAACAAAATAATCCATATCAAACAGTCCTGTTCTCTGTTCTTTAAGTTTGGAAGGTGTCAGACACTGACATCAAGCACGTTTTGATCTGGGAGACACAGAGGTCTCAGACCCTGTTTGTCACAGGCATTGTTGCCTTGTTCCTGTTAAATCATCTTTGATTTCCAACATATGCTGTTACAGAAGGACTCTCTGTGTGTCTGGCTTGCTCTGTTAATCTCGTCCAGATTGCACGCTGCTAAAGATGGAAACCCCCTCTATATGGGAAAGAAAGTTCAGCGTTGTCGCTTCTGCTCCTGTGATGCACTTGAATCTATCCAGGGCAGGTCAGAAAGTGAATGTGTTTAGGGAGGAGAGATGAGGCAGCTTGTTTCTCAGGTAATTAATAATGTAGGGACTCCCATGGAGCTTCAGCTCACCTGGAAATGCTCCTTCCCTTGTTTGTGAGCTTGCTTTGACTGCTGTGTTGACAAATTGAACCCAAGTCTTTTAAAACTGAAAGACCTGGGATGAAAATGAAACTTTTCCTTCATCATTTCAACTGTTTTTTCCTACCAGCTTAACCACAGCAATGTGTAGCCCTCTTCATCCTTTTTTTCCCCCTCTTATTAAATGATTCAGTGATTAATTGTTTTTATGGTGTGCTACTACCCAGTTGATCAGAAATAAAAGAGCAGCAGTTGTGAGAAGTGAATCTATTTCATCTGTCATTGATTCCTTTCCCTATATAATTAGTAAGAGCTACTGAAATTTCTGATGATGACCAAGTTCCCAGACCATATCTTTTGCAACTGCTGAACATGACACACTCCTTAGTACTGTTTGAAGAAATCTGTAAGATTTCTCTTGGGATAATGGTTATGATTATTTCCAACATCTGGTTTTCTTGTTGTGCCTGGTTGGAAACAAAATGGTTTGGAGGAAACTGGCCTATTTTTCTGATGAAAGTTCTTCCATGTTCTATATAACTTTTGGTCTTTCTCTTTCTTTTGGAATGGAAGGAGCCTTCTTCAGTGATTTCAGCTGGAATGGCACCAGGTTGCGTATTTCATCTCTGACTTCTGAACTTAATGACCTTCTGAACATTAAACTTGAAAGTGATGTCTTTGTAAATAGGTGATCTGGATTGGAAGGTATCAGATAGTTTAATCACAGTGACTCCAGGATGTAGATTTGTAAATTTGCAGGATGAAAAGTTTGATCTTTCTTGATGATAAAATTCCCAATGAGTTCAGTGAAGTCAGGACACATTTTACAGGTCACATATGTGTTTTCAACTCCTTAAGACCTGCTGGATGCTAATTATCTCTGTAGCTATTACCTTCGGTGTTGTGCTTTTCACGGTTCTCTGGTGGGAACTCTACAGATATGGGGTATAATCTCTGAAAGTTTTTGACACTTAAATTTACAACTTATTATGTAGCATTTCTCCAGGATGTGCTTTGAAGGCAGATTGTCCCATATACTTTCCGATCAGCTTTTTTCCTCTCCTGTAGTAGAAGATCAAACATAAGAACAGAGTATATAACACAAGACTGTCTTTTTTTTTTTTCATTTTTTATATATTTTACATGTTTCTTCTTCTTTTATTTATTTATTTTCTGTTCCTTTTTAAAGATCCAAGTACAAATCCAGCCTATTCAGAAGAAAGATTGGCTCATGAAGCTTTGCAATTAGAGAAACGCTTGAGCTTGCTGTCCCATACAAGTCGCCAGGGCAGTGGAGGTAAGAAATATCTTTAATTACATAAAAATAAATGGTGTTCTGTCCTTTCCAGGCTTTAGAAATGTGCATACGCATATAATTATAAGATGCTGAGGTTAAAAGAAAAATAGTAGAGAAATGGTCAAGATATTTGCTTTGGCTGCTGTTGCTTGTGGGGCAGTTCTTTAACAGCATTGTCTAAAGTCCATTGACATGGATTGGATTATTTCAGCTGAGAAGACTGAGTTTTGGATCAAACACTACTAACATAGGAAAATCCTTTAGTATGCTGAATCCTAATGAATTTGTGCATGTGCAGCTTGAAAATCACAGAATCGTAAGGGTTGGAAGGGACCTCAGGAGATCAGAACGGACTGCGTCAAGTTTGAGATCGGCTTAAGTACTTGACTCACTCCAGCCTGTGAGGTGAACCGACTTGCATAGATCATATATCAGGCTTACAGCAGATTTTTGTAGTAAAACCTAGGACTCCTGTGCTTTGGTTCTAAGTGTTATTATTCTTGCTCTTTGTGGTGGTATCCGTGCGTGTCCCTTCTGGAGTTGTTTATATGTCAAAGTAGAATTGGTGTCTAGCACTGGATTTGTAAAAGGGCCTATGCCCTGAACTGCCTTTTGGATTGTTCAATAACAGAAGTTAGATCTTCAAAACATCTGCTTAGCTTTTGACTCTAAAGCCTCTAAGCCTAGAAATGTCCCTGTGAAGATCCTCAGGAGCTTAATTACATGCTTCTATACATGTCCATGGCTACTTTAGTCTTGACACTGCTGAGTAATGTGGTTTGTGACTAAATTCCACTGAGACTTCCTGAGGATTTTCTTAGTTAGCGTATAACTACTAGACTTGACTAGACTAATGGAAAACAAATGGGACTTGATAGAGGAGCATCCCTGTTTGTTTGGGGTTTTTTTGGTTTTGTGGGGGGTTTTTTGTGGGTTTTTGTTTTGTTTTGTTTTTTAAATCCAGTCAGTCTGGCTAGAAAATATGTGGCCCAGCTTCATATATATTCTCTACCTGAATTTATGACCTGATTCTCCTAAGAATGTTATAATCCTCAGAGAATGTGGAATCCTAGAGTAAGATTTTTATGTTTTGTTATTTGAGTTTTGCATCAGAAAATTAAATATTTGTGTTTATGGGAAATACTATAACAACAAGACTGTCCCTGTAGGTTTGGTGGGAGGACATTTGTCTGAATCTGGAGATCTAGGTTCTGCCACTGCCTTGGAGAACGTGTAGCTCTATATAGTTAGAACCTCTTTTCAAGACTGGCTTCCCTTCTAGAGTATTAAAGTGTCTGAAATATTTGTCTAAGAGAATGATTTCAAATAAATTCAAAATCTTATTTTTTCAGTGAAAATATATGTTTTTGTAAGCAGAATAACTCTTATTTAACAAGTATATTTCATCTTCTGGGCACATTGCTGAGAACTGCACTAATATTTTTGTAATTCATGCCTTCCATCTAGACAGCTGTATAATTTAATCTCCGGAGTTATGCTTATGTGGGGGTCACAAGCCAGTGTCATGCAGTGGGCACTGGGGGAAAAGAAGGGATTAGATTTCACAGGATAAACATTGCTATTTTGTGATAGTATATATCAAGAATTACTCCATGAAGAGCAAGAGAATTATTCTAAACTTTTTCTTCAACACCCTGAATAGAAATAGCCTAGTAACACCAGAAGCTCAGGGCAAAATTTGCAGTGGACTCTTCCTCTTTCTACCCCATCTGGCAACTTATTGGCCAAGGTTTAAAATTAATAAAATTAATTAAAATTAATACTTACAAATGATCCTGCTGTCAGTCTTTGTTTTCACATTGGTTTTGTTAAGAAGGAAGGAAGTAACATTGTGGACTCTGTGTGCCGCTACAAGAAAGTGGGGCAGGTTTGTTTGGTTTTGTGTATGTGTTTGTATGATGTTTGTGTTTTGTCCTTATGCCCTTTCATGCCAATGTATAATTCTTTTCTTCCATCTTCTGTCTTGGATAGCAGTAGTCACCTGTAAAAGTGTCATTCTTGCAAGTATCAGTGAGAAAAAATAAATTCTTGCAGTCTGTACATAAATGAATCATGGAAGATATTTTTGTATATAGATATGTAAACGTTTTTGTAATGTTAGTATTCTCATTTTTGTTTGTTACAGTGATGTATGGTTGCATTTTGGTGTGGATATTATGGAGAAATACAGTGTAGGAGAGCTCAGAGGAGAGAGCAGGACGGTCTTAAGTTTGATTTTACTTTTGCAGTCTCTTTAACATTCACCTTGATGTAATTCAGATAAGATTTAAATAGAGGAAAAAAAGTGTAAATAAGATAATCATTTGGTTGATTCCGATCAAATAGAAACATGGAAATGTCTTATATGGCCCTAGGTTACAGTAACAAGGTTTTCTTCAGAGCGTCCTCACCTACCCTGAGCATGGGACTTTGTGACAATTCCCTGTGATATAAGATAGGAGTATCTAAAATAAAACCATTTAACTGTACAGAAGTAAAATATGGTTGAAAAGGGGAGAACTTGGTGCATAAACTCTAAAACTTTAGCCCTGAATGCATTATGTTCCATAACATGGTAGGGTTATGGCAAGGTAATGTACTATTTGCATTTTATTTTTCCCTTGGGGATAGGAATTATTGCAGGAATTCTGGCTTTCTGACATAATTTCCCCTTACAAAAAGCAGATGAAATCTCAGGGTCCTTTCTGTTTCTTCATACTTGCCATGCTTCAGTCTGTCAGTTGTGTGTCTAAACATAGGTTGATGTGTTTTCTCCTTTTCTAGGAGATGATAGAAGTCTTTCAAGCTCATCTTCAGATACCAGCCGCTCGGATGTTAGCGTTGGGAGCAGACTGACAATTTGGCCTGAACAGTCTTCAGCCAGCACTTCTCAAGAGAGTCACGGACTGGCAGCTGCAAAGGGCATTCATCTTGGGGAGGAAAAGACCCTTCCAGAAGGGGCACGTGGCATCACAAAACCACCTCCAAAGCCCCTCCGATCTAGACAGCTACAGGAAATAGGTCGTCAGAGTTCTTCTGACAGTGGAATAGCTACTGGTAGTCACTCTTCTTACTCTGGAAGCTTTTCTTCCTATGCTGGGAGCTTGGACATTTGCCACGGTGATGAATTTGGATCACTACTAAGCTTGCCATTGAACTTTCCTTCGGATCAGAATTTATGTACTTGTCCTCACAGTGAGCCCCAGAGAGGTGCGGGATCAGAGTATCAGGTTCCCAGCTCTCTCAGACATATTTATGATATACCCAGGAGTTTCTTACAGGCAGCTTCTAAAGATGTGCAACCGAAGAGTGCAGATTCCATGCTACCCAAGGACCAGGCCCGGTCACCTCAAGGTGCTAGTGACCCAAAACTGCTACTACCACACCCGGAAGCACGCAGGGTACCTGAGCACAGCCAGGACAGAGGGAGGCCTTCATCCTTACTCGCGGAAAGCAGCAAGGACTCAAGTGATGAGACATATGTGGATTTTGTTTCGAGGTGGTCAGACACAAAACCACAAGGACAGGGGTCAGACTCCAAAAGTAGTGAGTTGTCACCACCTAGTGGGGCCTCAGCTGACCCCTATGACACATGTAGCCCCCATCTTGGGATGACAAGAGCTCTTTTTTCAGCTTGTCCAATCTGTGGTGGACTAAAGGTAAATACCTAACACTGAGCAGATGCTAACAAGCCTTACTTAATATGGCATGATTAATTTAAAATGACTTAAGTTGCAAGTCATAAATACTATTATTTCCTTTATAATTTGAATTGGTAATAACTTTTGTGTTGTTTATGCTCAAGTTGAGAGGCTTAGCACACAGATTTCTCAAAAACCGTGCCTGATCAAGAAAACACTGAACAGTATAGGCCATCAGTCATTACTTTTAAATTGGCCAATTTTGGGTTTGGGTGTATGTGCGTGGCTTACAGTGACAGAGACAGAAGCTTTACAGGCACATGAGAGGGCTGAATTTGTCATATAATTGCAATATAGCATGAAGGTCATTGATCTGTCTTACTGCTGGTATTTCAAAAGAAGAAAGAAGGGAGGCCAAATAGTATGTGCTGCTCTTTAGGTGACCACAGTACATACTTTTTATTTTATTGATGTTTTTCTTTTCTGTATCATTGTAGTTTGAGCATGTCTTGCACAAGAAGCCAGATTAGCGAAGCTGCTCACTTGAGAAAGAGAAGATAGTCAAGTTAGCATGGCAGTCCATAGCAGATCAAATAATCTGAGCAACCTGATCTAGTTAGCGGTGTCCCTACTCCTGCAGGGGGGTTGGACTAGATGACCTCTAGGGGTCCCTTCCAACCCAAAACATTCTATGATTCTATGATCCAGTATTATAACTGGCCAGGCTACTTTAAAGGAGGTGTACAAAAACTCATTAGTGGTGTACTACCAGGACGGTGTATTTGCAGAAAAAAAATGTTTGATCACCAGTCACATAAAGACTTAAAACCTGAAGCATGGAAATTCATATGTCTTTCTAAACACATTTGCCAGTATCAGTTACTATGACTGATATTCCCGTAAGTTCTTTTCGGACACTACTAAATTCTTGGCTTTTTATGTCAGTAAGCTTTATACATTAGTTGTACATTGCATGGAAAAAATATTTGTTTTTACCTATTCTGGAGAAGAACTTTTTGGTGAATGTTTGCTAAATTAGAAGAAGGTAAAGCTGTTTGTAGTGGTGAGCTGTTGAAAGGCTGGGAAGGTTCAAGGGAGTTGCTCAAATTAAGGAATGAGTGAAGTAGGGATTCAGCAAGAGATATTTTTGTTTGAGGAATTAAGTATTGCCACTGAAGTGTGTACATTTTAATTGAGCATGTGGGATTACATAAATCACTGCTACGAAAAGGGCTCGAGTGTATAGTAAATTATGAAAGAAAAATGAAAATATTATAAACTTGAGGGATTATTTTCTTCTCATGAGGTATTTCATGCATTTGCATCATTGACTGACTTCATGTGTCTAAAAACTGGAAAATGCTGTCTGCCTGAGGCGCTCGTATAGCCTCTGTAACAGCACCTTGGACGTTACTTTATCATGTACTTGCAGCATTTAGGAGGTAGGGAGGCGCCGGTGTGACAGGCTAAGGTTGTGTCTACACTGATCATTAGGATTGGTGTTCCTCCAACACCATCCTTGCCAGCCATTGGCACCAAAGGCCCTCACTAGCCCTCTAGCCTAATTCTGAAAGCTTGGTGGGTGCAAGGGCTTGAGATTCAGCCTCCCACTTCTGTTCTTTCTGCAGCGCAGGCAGCGGGGTGCACAGTGGGGTGCTCAGCAGTGTGTCTGCTGCTGGCTTCCGGAGTCTGCTGCCTGTAGTTAGAAAGAAGTTGGGAAAAATGCACAAGACTGATTGCTGGAAGGGCTGTAGTCTGGGATCAGAAAGCTCCAAGATGGCTTTGTTATAGGCAGTGAGGAAAGAATTAGTAAGGTACAGTTAGTTCACACGGTCTAAATGTTTCTGGGTGATCTGAATTGTCAGTTTAGACAGGAATTTATCAAAATTTACCCTGGACATCTGTGGCAGACAGGAAGCTGAAAGTGAGTATTCCATTGTGTATCTTCAGAGCTACTGAAGGCTACATTATGTCACTCCTTTAACTGCCCGTTGACCCCAACAAAATACATGCCCACATCTTTTATTGCAAAGTGCAAGTGTCAAGTTTCATGGTGTTTCTAGTTGCCCTAATAATATCAGTTGGCAAGAATTTCAGGAATTGTCAATATTTAAACAATTTTAGCGAGAGAAATGCTAATGCAACACTTACTAACTCCTGTTTTAGCATGAGATATGCACATCTGCTTCTTATCTTTTTTTCCTACCCATTTGTAAGCATTCAGGAAAGATGTCTCATTAAATGAAATGATTCATGGGTTTGTTTTTACTTCTGAATGAAAAAATAACCTTTTGATACATTGTCCTGAACTGTCAAGATGAGTTATTTCAGTTATTAATGGACACAGTCTTTGGCTTTTCTCATGATGAATACAGTGAAAGCACAAATCCATATGCTGTAACTAAACAATAATTCTTACTCCTTGTGCTCTGAACAGAATATGTTTAAGGTGCAGTTAGGGCCAGGAGGAGTTGATTTATAGATTAATGAAGCCACCAGGTTTTCACACTTATTCAAATTCATGTTCAAAATCGTTTAGTGTGCCAGGGTTTGGAGTTCCTCTGCGATTTCAAGTTAAGCTGTTAATTAAATTGTGTTGATGATTTTTAAATGCCTACTATTTAAAGTGAGTGAGTGACCTGAGTAGAGGAAAGTCAACAGCACTAAAAAAGGATATACGCCTTGGTTTGTTTTCTGCCCTGTATGTAAACTTTGGCAAATCGAGGTTAGATTTGGGCATGTTGTCTGTGTGTGTTGGAGTTCAGCACGTGAAGAGTCGGAGACAGGGTGCAGGATGAAGACGTGCGTATGTGGAAGGCATGGTGGTGGTCATGATTGGGATTGACTTGGTTAAGAACCACCTGCTCCACTAATGACAAGGATGATGATGAACATAGGGAGAACATACCCGGGGAAAGTGCCAAGGTTCAAGCAGAAAATAGGGCAAGGAAGCCTTTCTGTTTCACTCTGGATGAAGAATAGAACCAGCATGAAGAAAGTCACTAAATATTGCTTCTATTATTTCTATATTGTATTTCATATTAGACATTGGGGATTAATAAGCAAGCATGCAGGGTGATTTGCTTTCTGTTGTATGATATTGTGGTATGCTCAAGATGTTTTTCTTGACAAACTTCCCAAGGTGTGCCTTTGCTATGTAATTTTTGCCTAGGCGATTTCGGTGCTATAGATTATTGCAGAGATGAATTCTTTGTGTATTGTAAGTATATTCCAAGCTCAGAATGTTGGATTGTTATGAGATTTCTGAGTAAGCTGTAGAGATCTATTATTAGACTTATTACATTTTCAACTACTTAGCTAATACTAATACGATGAATAGAATTTCACTGTACGCTTGTTGCTCTGTAACTTCATTTGATGCTATAGTTTGAGAAATGTCAACCTTTTTTATAGGGTGTCTTTTTTTTTTTTTTTTTTACACCACTATTGTTTGTAAATTTTCTTAGAAGTCTGAAAAATAAAATTATTTTCCAACTGTTTTTGTCCTTTTGCATCTGAAAAGTACTGGGTTTAGTTTCGCTTTGCTTTTTGTCCCCTGACCTTTATCTTGCAAGCTGAATTAATATGGGATGATTATGGCTGTCTCATCACGCTACTTAGTGTTATACTCAAATCACTGTTGACAGCTCAAAATGTGCCTATTAGTAGGAATGACTTTTATGTATGTCTGGCTCCCCCTAAACTCATATTTATGTCAGTGGGAGTTCTTATGTATGTAGAAATATAGGCTTGATTACTGCTTTGGTAGTTAATTTGCCATGATAGAAGAGAAAAGAAAGTGTCGGTTTGTGTGTGGCTGTTATCATCAATCCTGTATTGGTATTCAGCCACCTACTTCAGTTGATCATTTAAAAATACCAAAGCCTCCTTGGAGACAACGGTCCCAGATTAGCAGCGGGTCTACCCAAACCCTCTGCGAGGTGTTTGTATAGCTCCTGCTACCACAGTAACTGCGTGCCTCAAACTTTGAATCTCCCAGCATATCTGTAGTAAGTGGAAATCGGGTATGCTGTGGTCATGGCACACAAAAGAGTTTAGGGGTTTGTTGGGTCGCAGGATCCACAGCGCTGAGTGGCTAAAAACCCTTCCCCAGAGGTCTGGTACCTGTCTTGGGGGGATGCAGATCTAGGTTTAAGTGGGGAGTTGCTTTGATTAGTTGATAGGAAATTTACCTCTTTTAGTGTGTTCTGTAGAAACTGCTTTGTTTTGCATTACAGCTCTAAGGGAAGGCAGGTGCATGTTTGTGCTGTGATCCTTGAGCCTTCCTCAGTACGTTTAATTGTGCAGCACCGTGCCCCTGCAGGTCTTGTTCATCACACGCAGCCTTTGGCGAGTGCAGAGTCTCTGCGTAGATCTAGAGCTACTGCGGATATCTGTGCTTCCTTTGTGCGTTGTAGACGTGGGAGAGAAGCAAGGCTGATGTGTCCTCAGGCAGAGGAGGGGCTTGAACTCTAAAGAACATCTTGCACTGAGGTCTGTTTTGTGGTCTTGCCTGGACTGATTTAACCAAGGTCATGAAGAGCCTGTAACTGGGTTGGGAATAGAGGCTTGGTCTTCCAAATCCTGTGCAAACCCCTCAACTGTGGATTTAGCTGGTGTGTCTCCTTTCATTGTAGATGCTGCTTTTGAAAGTGGTAAAAGAGAAGGCCTATAAGGGTTAAGCTTGTGTAGTGACACTCGAGAAACAGCGGATGTGGACTACGTTGCCACAGCCGTGTAACTGAGAATGTTTTCTTTTTTTTTTTGTCTTTTAATCAGGTACTTTTCTAATGTAGTATTAAAATAGATACTAAAGAAATAACAATATATAGTTATATATAGCTTTAATGTAGCTATTTTTTCCTCTGTTGGAGCCATTACCTCTTTCCCCATGAGACTGAACACCTTATGTGTTTACCTTGTAGTGTGTTTATTTCCCTGCTTTCTCAGAAAGTACAGGAACACAATTATTCATAATTACACACCTTTTACATCTCTTTTCAAAGATTTTTTTTTTT